TCCTGCATCGTGTTCTCCCACACTTCTCTATGATACAATCATTTCCTGGTTTCCTTGCTTTTGTACATTCCTCCCCATTCTAATGAATGGAAATGGATCCTTTAAGAGTGGGATGGGCAACTGTGAGATGCTGGGGATGTACATTTGCTCCCCAGGAGACTGTACCAAAAACTTTTTTAAAATGACCCCAAATGCTTCCTATATGTTTTGGCATGGTTTAAGGCCCCCTCTGCCATTTTAGGCCCAGAAAGGGCCTTTTATAAAAACAAGAAGAGACCAGAAGTCACTTCCAATTTACTTCTGCTTTTAAAAACGGCCTCCCTTGGGCATAAAGTAGTTCAGCCCCACTTCCCATGTAGCAAAATGCCCCCTCCAAGCATCCTAGAGGACATTTTTTAACCCCTAGGGCATGTTGTGAGCCATGAGACTGATTCAAGGGCCACATTTTCCCCACTCCTTTCTTAAGGCTTGTCATTGGCTTTAAGAACTTTAAGGGAAAATACCATGATATTTCTGTTTCTACCTTTTTTTTTCTTTGGCACTGTCAACACATAATGTTGGAAATTCTTAGTTAAAAACTGAATGCGGCATCTATTAGGTCAGTGAATACTTTAGGTTAAGAGTGCATTAGTATTTATTCAGACTTAGTTGTATGGCAGTTGATACAGTTGTTGCAAAAGTAACTAAGATGGATATTGTTTTCTCTTTTGCATTTGTATGTTTTGCAAATATGTATTTTTTCATTTTTGAATCAGATAGCAAGAACCACAAATAGTGCAGAAATACTTTTGAGGGAGAAAATTAAAGTGCTTGGCACAATATCCCCAGTAGATGGAAACCAAAGTTCAAGATTCCTGCAGCGTGCCTGTCTCATATAAAGCAAGCAAAAGAATTATGATAGCTCTTCTGGCCATGAACAGTGCTGCATATGCTTAGAAACACCAGAGAAATGTTGGCTAGAAAAACTACTTAAGGAGGATTGTATACTGTTTAGTACTGATACGATTGGCAAATATCAATCTTACCCTACCTGTAGTTAATTGTTAGAACTGAATTTGGTATAACATAGAGCATGGCCTTTTTCCTACTTGAAGAACTAGTAAAAAGAAGCTGCATCCTGTCATGTATGAATTATGTGTGAGGAGCACACAGATTAAACTAAATTCTTAATTAAATTTGAGTTTCCAAGATTCAAAACCACCACCTAAATTGGTCTGCCCAGGATTTCAAATCCTCAGCTGATGCCCAGTTATGTGTTCCATCATGCTGAGTGGCTACATAAAAGATATGGCTTTCTCTGCAGCAGCACCTTCATTTGTGTATTCTTCCCAAGGGAAGTGAGGTTAGCTTCATCCTTACTTATCTGGCAGGTGGCCATATTATTCCACCATGGTCACTGGTAATTAAATCCAGTTTTAGGGTTTTTTTTGGGGGGTGTTTTAATTTGGTCCTAAAGGATATTGGTTTTTGAAAATGCTTTTGATATTAATTTGCTTTATAAGAATTTTTTTTTCTGTTGTGGAGTACCTTGGGAGCCCTAGTGGACTGAAAGATTATAAATAATTATTCCTAATAAATAATAAAATATATCATGGAATCAAGCTCAGCACTGCAAAAGAATCTGTATTTGTTTCCCTGGAAATGCAGCGGTAATCAGCTTGTGAACAGGATTCCAGCAGAGTTGTGTAAGGCAATATTAACACCATGAGCTTCACATCGAAGGAGTGTGACCTAGCTGATGTGATCTTGTCTGAATAATTTCTTCACACCAGGAGTGAGAGTCATGCAGCTCTCCAGGTGTTCTTATACCTCAGTTGTCAGCAGTCCTAGCCATCATTAGCAGGAATTCTGAGAGATGCAGTCCAGTAACATCTGGAGGACTGCATGGTTCGCATCAAGCATTAGAACACCTCTGCATCCATGTTTTAAAAACTTCTGGCTGTGAGGAGAATACGTTATAAACATTGTTTACAAAGCATATTAGCCATATAGGTTTGCTGCCACAGATCCAACAAAATGGAATGGTATACTAGCAAGTTAATTATGGTGTTCTCATCTGTGCAAGCGTACGTAGCCTTAATATGTTTGTCCTTACTACAGTGACTGAAATGCAGAGTGGTTAACTGTTGGAAGTAGCTGATACTATTAAATTCTGTTAATCAAATGCATTTATTTTATTTTATTTGCTTTGAATCATTGGAAGGCAACTTAAGTTTTCAGGTGGCATTTCTAATATATTACATATTAAAGAATATCCAGCTAAGTTAGTCCTCTGTGTACATTGAACTCAGATAATGTTAATTATTTTGTGTACCACCATACATGATGATGATCTAATTCAGAATAGTGGGAATGATCCACACTAATAGAGATTATGACTAGCTGTGCCATCAAAACGTATAGCTTGCCTTAACTCTTCACCATTCTTGCATCTTTCTGGTTATAACAGTGGTGGTTGTTCAATCTAGGGTATAGACCAAAGTACATCAGTGCCAAATGGGTTAGTGGAATACATTTTAAATACTAAAAACAAAAAAACAGTTTGGCCTCCTGCTTTTGATTTTGATACACAGAGCTACATCTTGGTCCTTGTTTGAACCTGCCAAGCTGGTTTGCTAATTAGCTGTGGAGTGTTTATTTATGAAACTAAATCAAAACTCTATAATTTTCTCTTTTAGCCAGAAAACCTTGCCCAGAAGCTTCCAAACCTTGTGGAATTGTAAGTATATGATGCCTTGTTATTTGCAGTAATGCATGAAGTTAAGCAAAGAATATTTCAGGACTTTTGTAGACAAATATTTTAAATGGTTTAGAATAGTGTCTTGCTGAAGAGCTGGTCTGTTTTGCTATAGCCATTTTGGTGTACTTTTCCATGACCTAATTTCTTTCCTGCTGCCTTCTCCTATGCTTCAGCGCTGTGGTTCTGAACCTAAGTGACAGCTTGGAGGCACCACCTTGTCAAACACTTGGTATGTGACTAACTTCATTCTGCAGCAACTAGACCATTTGTTCAGAGAAATTGGAAATCATATAATCACAAGAGGTGGAAATGTTTAGCATAACATAATTTATATCCCACACTTTTGTTACATGACAATACAGTAGTGTTCCCTAATTTTTAAAAAAGATTCCTCATGTAAAAGCTACTCAAATACAATGTTATTAGTTTATTTGTTATTTTCAGAGTGGAAGTTGTTCATAGGAATGCTTTTTTGCATTAGCCAAGATTAGAGCTGTCTTTCTTTGTAGTCTGTTGTTGTTGTTGTTTTTCTGTCAGTGACCATGGTAATAAGTTTAGGAAATGCACAAGCAGGACTTGAAGAGGAGAACCTGTTGTTTGTTACTTGTACTTAGCACTGAGAGGTACACTGACTTTGTAGCTGTAGATTCTGTATTGCTTTTGTACAGATTATAGCTATTAATCACCTTGTACCAAACATTGTAAGAGCTACAGATGTCTCTCAGTGTGAGTTGAGAAGATGCTATATTCTTTGGGTGGGTTGCATCCTGGGGTTGGCACCCTAAATCATCCCTGGGTCCTTCTGGAAGTCTCAAGAAAAGAGTCTGAAATTTGGATTGTGGTGTAAAGTGTCACAGACATTGTGAAAGCGACACTACATATGCTAAACATTTCCAGTATAGGTTTAAGGTGCTTTTGGGAGCTAAACATGACAAAAATAGGATATGGATATCCTAACCTTATTTAGAAGTTTATATACTGGAGAGCCAGCATGGTGTGGTGGTTTGTGTGTTTGACTGTGTATCCTGGCACCAGGGCATGTGGCCAACATGGCTATCTCTGGATATGTCATCTATTAATGGTCAAAAAGTTGTGAGAGATTTGTATCATACATGCATATGCACATTGCTCTGGAATTATTGCTCTGGGGAGGTATTGTGTTGTTCTGTGTCTTCAAGTCATTTCAGACTTATGCTGACCCTAAGGCTAATCTATCATGGGAGTTTTCTTGGCAAGATTTATTCAGAGGGAATTTATTTCTTCTGAGACTGACAATAACCTGCCCAAGGTCATTCAGTAGGTTTCCATGGCTGACTAGGGCTTTATTGTATGGGAGACATATTAGCCAATGTTAGCAGACCCTAGATCACTAAGAAGTGTAGTTGCAGCTTCTGCTTTTCCCCATGTTGGTCCCTGGAGAGTTGCACTTTACTGGTTTGTGAATCTGCAGTGCCATGAATAATTGTTGTGGGTCACTGCAATCTAGCTTGCTCAAGAAACAGTCTTGCCTCATCTTGCCTGGTGGGAGTTCTGCTTCATAATGAAGCTGAAATACAGCTTTTATGTTGCACTTCATGTTTTCCCATTAGGCATTTTAAAAGATAATCTGGTAAGGCCGTAAAAAAGTTCTGCCTGAAATTAATGTTTTTGGGGAGAGCAATTTTTAGATGCCCTGAAAACCAGA